CATCGCAGATACTGTTATGTTAAGAAAAAGCCAGGATAAGCAAGTAAATGAACATCGCAAACTTTTATTAAATTTTTGTAAGGCCACTGGTTTGAGAATTTTAAACGGGAGAACTGGCGCTGATAAAAACTTGGGTAAATTTACATGTGTAAAAGAGCAAGGTAGAAGTGTCATAGATTTTGCTTTATGTAGGCCCGACCTGATGAAATATGTTACATCTTTTAATGTTGAGGATCCAAATATTATATCTGATCATTGTGTTGTGAATTTTTCTTTATATTCAAAGTTAAACAGTATTGATGATGAAGTTGTGCAAGATAATATAAACAACCCTCCTTTTATGTATAAATGGGATAGTAGCAGGAAAAACGAGTATTTAGATGTACTTGAAACTGAGAATGTATGCCATATATTTACAGAATTAGGATATTCAATTTTTAACTCAGAAAATACTGAAGATGTTGATAAAACGTTGTCTGACTTTTATGTTGCTGTTGATGAAATATGTACCCCCCTGTTCAGGAAAAAGGTTGGAGATGTGATAAAAATAAATGGTATGACAAAGAATGTGTGGATAAAAGAACGATTTTTTTACCAATGTTTAAATGAGTATAGAAAAAATGAGTGTAATGAAAATAGAATAAATATGACTAAAGCTAGAAGTGAATATAAATGTCTTGTAAGAAATAAAAGGTATAATTTTGACAAAATGCAAACTACAAAATTAGAAAAAATGAGACTTTCAAATGCAAAAGAGTATTGGAAATTGTTAAAAAGTTTGTGTGGTACTAATAGTTCGAACAATATTTCTGCTGATCGTTTTGCTGTATATTTTAAAGCAGTTACAACCCAGAGTCTGCATTTTTTCAACCTGATGATGACATTCTACATTTTAAAGAAAGATATCTTAATAATGAGCTTAACGTTATGTTTTCAGAATTAAACGTGGAAATTTCTTCTGCTGAGGTTTTAAAAGCTTGTAATGAGTTAAAATTAGGAAAACCGGCTGGTCCAGACTTATTTTTAAATAAATTTTTTAAATATGGGTCTCAAATTAGATTTTTCTTATCTTTCCTTAAAAATTTATTTAACAAAATTTTTGACCTCGGTCATTTCCCTGAAAAGTGGACTGAAGGATACATCATCCCTATACACAAAAAGGTGATACAGATGAACCTGGAAATTACAGACCAATTACTTTATTAAGTACTATAGGCAAGCTATTTACTAAAGTTTTGAATAACCGATTAAATTGTTGGGCCGAAGATTATAATGTGTATATTGAAGCACAGACAGGCTTCCGAAAAAATATGGGAACGATTGATAATATCTTTATTCTACATGGATTAATTAATCATATGCTTAACAATAACAAAAAAACTTTTTGTAGCCTTTATAGATTTTACCAAGGCATTTGATTTTGTTGTACGTGATATAATAACTTAAGTTAGGCATTAGAGGAAAGATATTAGATGTCATAAGATCAATGTATAATAATGTTAAATCTAGAGTTAAGCATTTAAATACAGTTAGCACTGATTTTTTATGCATGTTGGGCGTTCGTCAAGGAGAATGTATTTCGCCTTTTTTATTCTCAATGTACTTAAACGACATTGAGGAGCATTTTATATTACATGGATTTGATGGTGTAAACTTAGATATGTTCAAACTTTTCCTTTTGCTATATGCTGATGATATTGTGATTTTTGCTGAAACCGAAATTAGTTTACAAAGAGGTTTAGATCTGTTATTTGACTATTGAATGAAATGGAAACTAACTGTTAATGTTGAAAAAACAAAGGTAATTGTATTTAGAAAAGGCGGCACAAACAGAAGAAATATGAACTTCACATATAATGGTCACACAGTAGACATTGTTAAAAAATTTCTTATTTAGGTATTACATTTACCACAGGTGGTTCTTTTAGCGCAACGCACGAGGCATTAGCAGGCCAGGCGTTGAAGGCAATATACAAACTCAAGTCTTATTTAGTTAAATTCACTAATATTGATGTTAAGCACTCCTTAGAACTATTTGATAAGTTAGTTGTTCCTATTTTAAACTATGGATGTGAAATATGGGGATTCAAAGAAACAAATGTTATAGAAAGAATACATTTACAATATTGTAAACAACTTTTAGGAGTACGTGCCCAAACCCAGAATAATTTTGTCTATTGAGAATTAGGTCGAACAAGTTTACTTTCTTATAGGTTAATATGTATAGTAAGATTCTGGTTTAAAATATTAGAATGCGAATGCACAAAATATATAAGACATGTATACGATATGATGTTAAGAGACTTAGAAATGTATCCTTATAAGATTTCATGGGCCTATAATATTAAACTTTTACTAGACTCATTAGGATTTAATCATGTGTGGCTATTCCAAGGAGTTGGAAACAAAAATATTTTTATAGATGTATTTAAGCAAAGACTGTATGATAATTGTTTACAACTATGGAACGCTCAATTAGAAAATTCGACAAGAGCCAGGACATATAAACTTTTTTCATGTTTTAGATATCAGCCATATTTAGACATTGTTAAAATTACTAAATTTAGAAAAGCATTAACAAGACTGAGAGTGTCATCCCATTATTTAGAGGTAGAAGCGGGTAGATGGCATAGGCCACAAAAAATATCATTTGACGAAAGAAAATGTAGACTTTGTTATACTCTAGAGGATGAGTTTCATTTTTTATTTGAATGTCCCCTGTACCAAGATATTAGGCAAATGCATATGAAAAAATATTTTTGGAAAAGACCTAATGTAATTAAATTTAGAGATCTATTTGAATCTGAAAATATTTGGATTGTTAAAAATTTAGCAATATTTGTTTGCAAAAGTTTTGATAAAAGAGACAGTGCATTGTATCAACGATAACCTTGTCCTCTCACTATTTCATATATATGATGCTTATATCAAGTCATTGATGTTATCATATACATTTTATAAGTATCACATATATAATAGACTAGATATGTTATAATGAATAAGTATTGACTTTTTAATAGACCTATTTTATGTATACCATGCTATATCATGCCATTGATGTTATGTAACTGCTGATTGTATTATTACTGTGTACTGATGGGCATATTGCCTTTGTATGAATAAAGTTTATCTATCTATCTATATATATAGAGGTAAAGAAAAAAAAATATCTATGGGTACGTAATATAGAATGTGGTATATACTTGCCACTATTTTATTATCACTAGGTAAACTATTAATTGAGTTTTAAAACTAACAAAATATTAAAAATAACATTTGTCTATTTCAAGATTTTGGAAGCTATTAACTTAATTTGATAGTAGAAAAGATAATTTTCAACAAAGTGTCATTTCCTGACTTTCCTATCTATGAAGTTGGTAAGTCAATTAGTAAATGTTTTTTTGAGTACATGTCCCTTGTAGATGCCATCACGTCAGGTGCAAGCGAATGGAAAGGTAATAAGTAATGTTGCATTTTGACGAAATAAATGTTGACACCAATGTTCTCTAATTTACATTTAAATGTATACATGCATATTAGATTAATAAATTCATAATATTAAAGTTATGATATGTTATATTACACATGAATGTTTGCAGAATGCTTTAAATTGACAATACAGGATTTACCCATCATTCTACAGAACACATCACCTCGTTGCTAGCGCCTATTCAGAAAACTAACTTTTGGTAGGATAAAACCGCTATTAAATTCCCGTAGATTGTTTGACATGTCTGTAGCTTGCAAAATCACTCCTTTGGTACCAGAGTTATATTATGATATTCTCATTCAATAGAATAGGGTCTTTCAGATATATATATTTTAAGACCCTGAATAGAAGAAGATTCTGCAGTTAACTATTTGAAACCTTTCTAGCAACATTAACATTTTACTAGCAATATCAAATGAAAATTTCTTGTATTTCACAAGTTGCTGAAGTTTAGTCAGAGTGACTTTTTCTACGTATCAACACCAGGCATGTATAGTATGGATACGACTGGGTATATTTATGTTCCCTCTGTTTGTCAGGACAAATCAACCAGTAAGTAATTGACGAGTACTAGCTAACCATTACATACATGTATATACAGGATATTCAAGTTTTTTTTCTATAAATACAGGATTTATTTTCATCGAGTGGTATGAAAATAAATATTTCACGAGTGGTTTTATTATTTATATTTATAATAGAAAACTTGATTTTTCTGTTTATTATATACTTTTATCTTTTTAATCTTATGAAAGAATTCCCTTTTAATTTTGTGTTTTGACTGAATTTAGAAAGAAGTAGTCCGGCAAGACACTGGTGAAAATACGGAAAATATATTTCACTGCAGTAAACACAATTTAAATCGAAAATACGGAAATGAAAATACGCATTTTATTTCATCAATAATTCTCAATATTTCATTTATAAGTATTTAATAAAGTAGTGTATCATTTCCATCATACTAGGATCTTTCTTTACGGAATTAATATGATTTATTATACAAAACTTACAAACATTGGTTAAATACGTTTATTAAAATTATATTTAATATTACAGACTGTTGAAGTTCTATAGATATCCGTATTTACCATTTGTTATTTAACTTGATAATGACTCGTCCATGCCACCATTATTGTTGATTTGTACTCTTACATCTCAAAAATATCAATTTTGTTGACTGCTCAAATTTTTTTTGAGACTGTAACCCCTTAAACTAACGGAGAAAGGGAAGTCTTTTTCGTATATTCAGCATCTTTATTGTTAATTTATTGAACTTTAACATTATGCTACATGTCATTTTCCGAAAATTGCATTAAATAATTATAAAAAACAACGTATTAGTAAATTAAAGCGTACGAATCATTTGTAAGAACAAATTTGTTATGTCTTTTCTTCTTTTACAATGGTACCATATCTTTAACAATTCACTAGCTGTATATGATAATTAACATTATTCTTTAGCCGATTAATGCATACCACGAATTTGTGAAAGGGCGATAACAATAACAAAAAACACACGCGTGCGCGCACGTGCACACGTGCACGCACGCACATTTATTGACACACATGCTAAAATCCAAATAACATATGAGTGTTAATTAAAACATTTAACTTAATTATCTTTCTTAATTTTTTACCATTAAAAATTTAGATAATTCGTTGAAAGTGATTTACTTGTCTTCCAGAATGCAGACTACACGTAGCTTTTCATGGCTGTGCAATGGGACAGTTAGTAATTTTATAGCATAATTGAGCCGCGCCATGACAAAACCAACATAGTGCGTATGCGACCAGCATGGATCCAGACCAGCCTGCGCATCCGCGCAGTCTGATCAGGATCCATGCTGTTCGCTTACAAACCATATTACAAGAACGAACAGCATGAATCCTGATCAGACTGCGTGGATGCGCAAGCTGGTGTCGCAAACACACTATGTTGGTTTTGTCATGGCGAAGCTCATATATTGTGTTAAAATGACTTTACGAGGGTGCAATTATTCTTTAAACTTGTACATGTAATTTATTATTTATTTCAAAACTACTGACATCATGATGTTGTGAATAATAAATATAATGATTTGTTATAAGCACAGTTTAAGACTCATTTTGAGACATTTTATCCCAGACCTAGACGGAAACAACGTGAACTTAAAATCTCGCAAACGATGCTAAGATAATTGAAAAAAAAATCTTAAAATCGTGGAAAATTCTTCTGAAAAAACGTTTACAGTATAATATTTTTTACAGAAGTAAGATTGGGGAGGCGTATGTACGTCACGGAGGTTACAACGAGGTTGGAGAGCTAAATGACATCATCATACTTTATCCTCAAGCAAAAGCCTCTACCGTACCATTCAATGTTGCCGGTTGCTGGGACTGGTGGGGATACACTGGAGCATTATTCGGTGCGTTAGTTGTACATTTTATAACTTTGTACCACGTGATATAACACGTGCGTATATTCGAACACATTATGTTCATATCACAGTTAAACGTTATAAAACCGCAACATTTTAAAAGTATTCAGAAACTATTAAAAATTTAATTGTAATTTTGGCTTAGATTAGTATGTTTAGTTATATCGTTGATAGTAAACGTGAAGTTAAGTTTAATGTTTATATCTTCAGCAACAAACAGTGGATTTCAACCAACAGCCATCAAACGTATGATCGACAGAGTTGCTGGCTTGTGAAACACACGATATATACATGTATAATTCTAGAAGTGTTGATGTGAAATAAAAAATAAAACACTTTTGAGTAAAGTGATTATTTATAGACTGGACTTTTGTGTATCTTTTTAAAAGATGGACAATGCTGTAAGTACATGCCCAAGTGGTAGAGTGGGTATAAATCTAATATTGTATAAGGGATATATATTATTATCATCGCCTACTAGTATTTTAAATATAGGCCAATGCGCTAGTTAAATATTATATTTGACAGTCAGGCTATATAGTCCTGATTTTCCCGGTAAGCAACTAGTTTAACTGATTTTTAATTTCATTTTCTCAAGATAATAGAAGAACATCACGATTATAAAATAACGCTTCTTCCATTGAAGCTCAACGAAAGGCGCGCTTAAAAAGATAACAAACACAAAGTATATAATACATGTAATCTTTTGCGCTGATTTTTTTTATATACTTTAAAGGCACACTAATCCTCTGAACTAAATACATATGTTTTTCTCTAAAAAAGGGCATACTTTATATAACTCATAAATATAGCAAAATGTAAACTTAGTGGTATTTTGACTTACAGTCAAAATGCTAAATCACTCATGTTATATGCCATAGAAGCAAAAGGCGACTACTACTTGGACAATTAGCTCTATTTAGGAAACTGAATCAAAACATCAAGAGTGAAAGGCTGTTGAAAACTATGAATTTTAGCATTTTTGGATCTCAAGACACTTTAATGAATATATGGTATTTGAATCGCGAAAAAACGCAATAAGATAAGTGATATGCATGTTCAAAAGTCAAGATGCTAGAAAAGAAAAATGGGTTTTTGAATGACTGCCTTGTACGGCAATATTCAATTTGAGAGAAAATATAGTTCAATAAGGAAGCATCAACAATGTTCTAATTAAATGTAAGGCATGTAGTAGTGTATATTCTATGAATATTGACATGATTTTCTTTGTTTATTTAAATTTTCAACACATTAACATGATGAAAAAATGTCCAAGAAACATGAACTTGAAAACACTGCTAAAAGTGATCATTCTTAATAAGACTATCAATTTTAAGCCGTCGAAATGTAGGAAGATGCAAAGTGTTCTGTCGTTCTATAGCTCACCTCTGTGAGCAAAACTCTCACAAAGTTCTTTTTCGTTTAGGAACATGCACAAATAAATATTCAAGTCAAAGCGTAACTTTATTCGGAAAACGCAGCTAATTTATAAAACATAAACTATACATGTACGATTTTCTTGAATAAATACTTCAAACTATAATAACGTATATGTAATTTAATCAATAAAGAATCAATTTGAACACATTTTCTCCTCCCTAAATAAGAGAAAAAAGACATTTTACCTATACAGTTTTTCAAAATAGTTTATTGAAAATAGCAAAAAAGCAAAATATCTTTAAGTTACTGTTAACAATAAAAATTACAGCCTTGATTGCGCTTCATGTGTGTATTTAGCCGAAAATTTCTGTCAAATAATGTGTATGAATGCTCTTTGAAATGAAAATATTGTATGTTTTTAGATTTTTTTCGTAGAGAAAAATCCTCGCGCTTTCGTTGGGGACCAACTTTCGTTACTCACATCAGGACCCAGTGATGTATAAATGTTAATAAATAGTATTAACCCCATCACACCCAGAAATTTATAATTATAGCAACCCACCACAATTGATATGGTCATAATGCTGTGTGGTGTCATCTGGAATTCTAATGTTTTTGATTATTTGTTTTGATTATTTTAATTAAATACTGAAGAAAAGTGTTGTTTCGATATAGATTGTTGACATAAATGCATTTATAATATGTATTTAAAAAAAATTAAAGCACATAGTATTGACATGTTTAACACACTAAATGTATACGTACTGTACGTAAACATCGTTGAATACCACTTTAGTCAGTGTTGACTTAGTTTTAATTTGAATTTGGTAGTTACATTGCTGTTTTTAATTATATTTCGATATTCGTCCTTGTTGAACTGTATTTAAGCTGTATTTTGATTTTCTGTTAAGTAGAATATATTTAACAAATAACGGGAAATATGGAAGTTTACAGACTGGTTAGTCAGACTTGGGAAGGTATTTGACCCGAAGCGCAGCTTTATATATAATAAAATGCTATACACATTTATTGTGTTATTGTGTATGATTAAATACGTTATATTAACACAATCAATTTACAAATATACTTGCACGATTAAGAACTCGTTAACCCATATGTCTCACTGTTTGTAATGTTAGAGTAACTTCCCTGTGACGAATATCGTATATCAGTTCACATGTACACAACTGATAAAGGAAGTGTAAAACGGTGTTAATCTTGATACCGGTTAAATTGTTTTGTTATACAATTGATGGATGTATGTGACATAGGTCTACTGTATAATTATAATTACTAAACCAACAAAAATGGCATCAAACTACGCTACTGAAGAGCTAGATTCAGATGAAATTGTAGAAATGTATTGTGAATTGTGCAAAAAGAAAGGTAAACATCGTATCGCTGACGGATTTTGTGTGAATTGTGTCAAATATTTTTGCAAAAAATGCTTATCATATCATACCGATTTTTTACCTGATCATGTACATAAAGACAAGACTAATATGCCACAAGATGTGTGCTTAAACCCGTGTCCTAGTCACAGCGAGGAGATCATCAAATTCTACTGCTCAAGTTGCAACATGTTTTTCTGTTCTGAATGTAAGAAGAACGATCACAAGGAATGTAAAAATGTTCATCATTTACCCGAGCTTGTAAAAGATCTAGAAAAAGGAACAGAATTTTTTAACCTAAGGCAAAATTTAGATGTAGTTGTGGAAGAATCACAAAAACACGTTTCTGTTCTGGCTGAGGCTAAGAAATCTATGGAAGCAATGTGTAGTGCGGCATTGTCAGAAATAGATTCTATGAGGGACCAAATTATCGAATATATATAAATAGAAGTGTAGGAACAATAAAATCAGATTTGAAATCAATAGAAAACGCAGAAATGAAAACAATCCAAGATAATTGTTCAAAACTGTCTGCATTGATTTCCGAGACATCATCCATGAAATCTAAGATGGAACAGAAAGTACGGGAATGTAAAAGATGTGAATTGTTCATGGCCATGAAGGATATGCAAACGAAGCAAAAAATCCTACAGCAGAATGTATTGGAGGTGAAGCGACACAACTTGAGAGAATTTGAGTTTGAAGCAAATAGCAGTATAAAATCTTTGATGGAAAATCATATTCCGTTGGGAAATCTAGTTTTCAAACAGAATGTAGGTATCACCTGTATAAACGAGGAATCCGCACAAATGGTAAATATAGTTTTCATAATAATGATATTTACAATGACCCATATATAACACATTATAGTGATAATGATAATGATAATGAAAATGACAACAGCAACAATAACAGCAACAACAGTTATAATAATAATAATACTTATTATAATTGTCATTACTGTCATTTCTATTATGATGGGCTGATAGAGGACATTGTGATGAGGAGGTGGACATTAGCTTATCCGGTGCTGAATGTCCTCTACAAATTAGGAATTATCTAGGAATTATTTCATAATATTAAAACTCCGTCGACAGTTTAGGTCATGCTATTACTTCGGGAAGCTCATATGTTCTATGACACTCTGTCAAAAAAGTGTAATATGCTTTGTATAAATAACTTGGATAAGAGGTGGAAAAAAGTGTCAAACATTGCATTTCAACATATATTTATATATATTTTACTCATATGCTATTTGCTTATACCATTAAAGATATGAGCAAATGCTTATTTGGGTTATTCTGAAGGTCTAGATTCTCGATCCATTTTGATATATACGGCAAAACATATTTTCCCGGTATGTTTTTAAGTAAATACAAAAAACACTTGTACAGTGATCAATATAAAAGGCGACATAAACTTGACATATTTGTATTCAAACTTTACATTGAAATATTTTCTATATGCAGTCAAAGCCCACTGTAGATGTAGAAACACAGAAATCGTTCGTTGCAAACCAATTACACAAACCATTAATTAAAGGAGAGACATGGTAAGTTTTTATTTGAATATCTATATTATGTTTTTGATATATTAAATATTAATTTACCCGTCAATAAACTCGGAAACTTTGTACCTTCACAGTGTTTTCTAACTGCACCCGTTTCTCACGTATCTCACAAAACAGCGTTTCCAATATAATGACGAGACACTATACATTTTATATTTAAAGGCACGTTAGGTCCCAAAAATGCCTTTATTTTCATTTCTGTAGAGCTTTTTGTTTTTGGTTTACATTAATAGGTTCAAAAAAAGTTGGCTAATTATATTAATTATCTTACATTTAATAAAGTTATTATGATTCATTGTTTTGTATACATATCAAAAACTATTTGTTTGCATTTTGATACCGTGATGATAAATTATTTCACATGTAGGGCTAGTTTTTAGCTCGACTATTCGATAAGAATAAGTAGAGCTATTGCAGTCACCCGAGCGTCGGCGTCGGCGTCGGCGTCGGCGTAACCACTTATGTTAAAGTTTCTGTAATAGTTCAAATATTTTCAAAGTCCATAGACATATGGCTTTGAAACTTTGCACACTTGTTCACCATCATGATCCCAACCTGTAGACAGGAGGAGGTAACTCTATCAAGCATTTTGACAGAATTATGCCCCTTTTTCGACTTAGAATTTATGTTAAAGTTTTTGTAATAGTTCAAATATTTTCAAAGTCCATTGACATATGGCTTTGAAACTTTGCACACTTGTTCACCATCATGACCTTAACCTGTAGACAAGAGGAGGTAACTCTATCAAGCATTTTGACAGAATTATGCCCCTTTTTCGACTTAGAATTTATGTTAAAGTTTTTGTAATAGTTCAAATATTTTCAAAGTCCATTGACATATGGCTTTGAAACTTTGCACACTTGTTCACCATCATGACCCCAACCTGTAAACAGGAGGAGGTAACTGTATCAAGCATTTTTTTTACTATCAAGCACTAAGAATAGTCGAGCGTTGCTGTCCTACCGAGGGCTCTTGTTTCAAGTAACAAACATGTTGTAAGACCGCTATTTAAACGTTATAAATTTCTTGTTTACCCATTATTTATTCCGTTCTTAAGTATAATATGCCTTTAACGGATAATTCATGACCTTCTTTATAATCAAACTTTTTATTTACTCGAAAGGGGCGTCCGTGGCCGTGTGGTGAAGGTCGTTGAAGGTCGTTGACTTCAAACCATTTGCCCCTATCCGCTGTGCGTTCGAATCCCGGCAGGGACTTTGGATTCTTTCATGTGAAGAAGCTATCCAGCTAGTTTACAAAAACGCCGGTGGTTCTACTCAAGTGCCCGTTCGTGCCTGAAATAATGCACGGAAATGCACCCGAGGTCTTCATCCGCCAGTAAAGCTGGAACATCGCCATATAACATACTAGTATACTGTGTCGGTGTGACCCAATCAAACAAACAAATTTACTCGTAATAGTATAAACATAATAAAGTTATGATAATTTGACAAAATGTAACATTTTTATACGTTTATTCATTATGAATAATTACTATGGTTCGTATAATAAATTTTCTTGCATTAAAATGATCATTGTTGAAACGAACATTTTTAGTTGTGAGAACATATATTTCAAGCAAATTTCTTACAGATTCGGCTTTTTCAGAAATTTCGTTTTGTCTGTGTACACTGTCTTTATTTCGACCAATATTTGAGTCAATATGAACCACACTGGATAAATACCAAAATATTAAAAAAATCTTGAAAGAAGGTGATCCCTCGGAAGCATTGATCAGAACAGAATTACCTGAAAATTGCTGACTCGGTTTGATTGAGTCTGTACATAGGGATAATGGTACATAGGGATAATGAGAATAAGTGCAACATCCCTCACTCCTCCTAGCATGGACTTACTCAATTCTCAACACTAAATAGTTCTGGCATCAATGATCCCGAAGGACCAGAAAAATATAACAACACTGAAGTGAAGTACGGGTCAACAGTTTACAGCTGCCACACGGCACCTGACACCTGCTGTTGTGAATTATAAAAATCTGGAAAGAAAGTGATCCATCGGAAGCATTAATCAAAACAGAACTACATGAAAATTGCAGACTCGGTTTTGATTGAGTCTGAACATGAGGGATAATACATACGTGCAACATCCCTCACGCCCCCTATCACCAGCTTTAGCGTTACTCAATAGTGCTGGCATCAATGATTCCGAAGGACCAGAAAAATATAACAACACTAAAGTGAAGTACGGGGGCACCGTTTTACAGCTGTCACACTCAATTCTCAACACTTACTAGTGCTGGCATCAATGATCGGAAGGACTAGAAAAATATAACAATACTGAAGTGTAGTTAAATTGCAGTGGAAACGAAGGAATGTTTGCTTGGAGCAGACTTTACACCGTTTTTAGCTCGACTATTCGATAAGAATAAGTAGAGCTATTGTAGTCACCCGAGCGTCGGCGTCGGCGTCGGCGTCTGCGTTTGCGTCTGCGTCGGCGTAACCACTTATGTTAAAGTTTTTGAAATAGTTCAAATATTTTCAAAGTCCATTGACATATTGCTTTGAAACTTTGCACATTTTGTTCACCATCATTACCCCAACCTGTAAACAGGAGGAACTGTATCAAGCATTTTGACAGAATTATGCCCCTTTTTCGACTTAGAATTTACGTTAAAGTTTTTGTAATACCTCAAATATTTTCAAAGTCCTTTCACATATGGCTTTGAAACTTTGCACACTTGTTCACCATCATGCCCCAACCTGTAAACAGGAGGAGGTATCTGTATCAAGCATTTTTTTTTACTATCAAGCACTAAGAATAGTCGAGCGTTGCTGTCCTACCGACAGCTCTTGTTAGAAAATAATATCCTTACATAATTATCATCCTTATATTGGTCAGACTTAAAAAAATGTTCATGTGCTCATAGAGTGTTTGTTTCCCAAATTTCATTAGAATCTGTTCTAATAAATTTTGTTTTATAACATCGTTAAATAATTAATCTAAGTGTACAAAAGGATTTCTTGTGATTATTTATCCTTTCTTTCATAACATTAGGATGATTAATATTTTCTTTAAAAACATTATTGCGAGTTCATGTTAACATTTAAGTATGACAATTGTGTTGTTGTATTAAAAGATCCTTAAATGTTGAATGATTGGTAATTTAGGTACATTATTGATGTCAAATGGTTCAAACAGTGGAAAAGTTATGTTGGTTATGAGAGCTGGGACCACTTTAATGTAGGCGAGGAATCAGCTCATCCAGGACCTATAGACAATACCCCTATTTTTCAAGGTAATGTAATATTATATTAAACCATTTAAATATGAAATAATAATCTTACCCTTAATTGTTTTGAAAAGAGCTGATTTATTACACATTTTATTTTCTTATTTATCTTATATAATATATATTATATGCATTACTTTAAAGGGTTAGTTTCTTTATGTGTATAATCAAACAACCTGCAACAATGGTTTTGATTTTTTTGTTCAAAGTACACATATACATATCTATTTTAATATCACTTTAATAATAAGTTTTGTTTTGAATATATTTAGAGGTCGATTCTTGATTGCTGCTCGCCATTATGCAATTATTGATCGATGATGTCAATAATGGCCGCAAACCTGAAGTAATCGATGGCCATTATCACATAATGGCGAGCAGAAAGCAAGATAATTGCATATTACAAATGGTGTTTACATTGGCCAAATTTGATATATTTTAATCATACCAAACCATTGCTTTCAAAATCGTGCAATCTACTTTGTCGTTACCAAAACATCTTACCGGAAACTTAAGTTTTTCCATTTCAGCATGTGCATTTGCAAATAGTTCCAAAAAGACCTTTTTTTGAATTGTTTTCTAAGCTAGCATCACATCAGTTAATAAAGAATGTGTAACAAAAGTGTAAAATAAATCTATTTAGCACAGGTAACCTGCACCTTAAATCCAGCGATCCCAAACTTAAGTCATTGTTGGGCGATTTCTTACTCTTAGGGAATGTACCTACCAATTATAAAAGTGAATGAATTAAGACTGTATAAGCAAAGTGTAAAAAAAAAAATAATTGTAACACTGACTGGCCCCATGCTACATATAATCGTAACGGGCCATTCATGGTATGCTCCTACCAAATTAAAAAGATTTTTTAATCAAGCGAAAGGGAAAAACATCTTTTTACCGAGCACTTCTCTAAATAAGACGACTACCCAATGTAACTTTGTTGATAAATAAAGCTGTATAAGCAAAAGAATAAAAAAAATTGTTTCAAGCACAGATGACTATGACCTTAAATCAAGTGCCCCAAAACTCCAACTCCACCCAAACGTAAACGACTACCCATGGTATCTACTCATAAAATACATGAATTCATGAAGTTAATTTCACGAATTCGTGAAGATAAAATCTTGAATTTTAAGATTTTTTAAACAGTTGCCCTTAAATCTTTGCCAATTCCGTGTAAAAGACCCGTTGTAATTAAAAACTACGCCTAAATAGTTAAAATTGTCAGAAATTTCTAAAAAAAATAGCATTTCATTATCTTTTAAAGGTCCTCTTTTCCTAAAAAAACATTATTTTGGTTTTATTATCAGCCACCTCTAAACTCACTTTCTACAATATTCATATAAATTGTTCAAACTAGCTTGTAAATCCATTTTATCCAGAATGCCATATCGTCTGCAAAAAGCAAAATGATGAAACATATCGAATAATGGAAAACTAATGTCTTCTTGTTTTCAATATAAATAACATATACATTGCATTTAAAGTTACATTTAGCAATTGAGACATTACACATGTATGCAGATACAAAAGTAATAACAGTTACTGCTGATGTTCTTTTATGATTTAAAGAAACATAATTGATAAGATGATTAATTAATAAAAATACAGACATGGCCCTTAAGTTGACTATGTTATACTACTTATCCCCCAAACTATGCTTATGAAATAATCTATGCAGTGTAAGTGTTCTAAATTATTAAATTATTGTATCTATGTTTTACCTTTCAGAAGGAACGGATAAACTGAAAGAACACTTGATAGATGATTTAGATTATGGACTTGTTCCTGAAGAATGTTGGCAAATGTTGCTGTCTTGGTATGGACTATTGGAAGGACAGGTAACAGTTATTTTATGTGTGAATATCTCTGTACGGTACGGTGTTCCGTTTGGACACGTTTGGACAATCGTGACATTTTATTTATTCTGTACCCGCGATGCACGATGGTACGATGGTGAAAACGCGATGGCACGATGGTACGATGGTGAAAACACGATGGTACGATGGTGAAGTCACGATGGTACGATGATGAAATCGCGATGGTGCGATAGTACGATGGTGAAAACGCGATGTTACATCGCGTTTCACCATCGTACCATCGTGATTTCACCATCGTACCATCGTGTTTTCACCATCGCACCATCGCACCATCGTGCCATCGCGCTTTCACCATCGTGCCATCGCGATTTCACCATTGTACCATCGCGATTTCACCATCGTACCATCGCAATTTCACCATCGTACCATCGCGTTTTCACCATCGTACCATCGTGTTTTTACCATCGTACCATCGCACCATCGCGCCATCGTGTTTTCACCATCGTGCCATCGCGTTTTCACCATCGTACCATCGCACTTTCACCATCGTACCATCGCGATTTCACCATCGTACCATCGTGCATCGCGGATGCAGAATACAGAAAACGCGATGGCACGATGGTACGATGGTGAAAACACGATGGTACGATGGTGAAAACGCGATGGTACGGTGGTGAAATCACGATGGTACGATGGTGAAAACGCGATGTAACATCGCGTTTTCACCATCGTACTATCGCGCCATCGCGATTTCACCATCGTACCATCGCGTTTTCACCATCGTATCATCGTGCATCGCGGGTACAGAATAAATAAAATGTCACGATTGTCCAAACGGAACACCGTAGTACGGTATGTTTATCAAATAACGTTTTTTGAGGGTGTACATACTCTTGAGCATTTTCTTTGAATTAGACAATAAACACAACCATTATAATAAACACTGGGGATAGAAAGTGGCGATAAAGTGTTCATATTGTAAGTAACATAAAACATAACATAAAAAATGTTATATTGTTAGTGCATGTACAGTATATGGAATCAATAGAGCAAGAACAATGTGTTTTGTCTCAAAGTTAACAGCATTATTTGATTCAACAAATTAATATGATCATTATTCAAGGTACAGAAGCGAAAAATATATTTTGTAATACAGATTTTCGAAATAATTTTCCAGTCGTGTTGTATGTTTTGTTTGTTCAGAAACCATTACCAAGAAAAGTGATAGAAGAAGGTACTTATAGTAAATCTTTGAAAGTGGAAGTTTACCCTTGGCATATAAAGATTTGTGATAACTCTAAACCAGATGCTGTCATTACAAAACTTTTCAGCAGAAGTGATACAATCCGTAAGATCATTTTTTTTTATTATATATCCTTTTTTAAAGTTTATGTTTTGACCTTTTTACAAAATTAAGAAAAACATAAATACTGAGATAAAACTATTTCGAACTGGTCAAATTAAAATGCTTAGACTGTTACTTATGTAAAAGGAAAACAAAACAAATAAACAAACAAACAAACATATAAATAAATAAAATCATGTTTAATATTCTTACATTTTCACATTATTAACATTAATTCATTATTCCATTCATATGTAGGCAACCTTGAAGAAGAAATGCGTAGGGAATTTAGCATATCCAATGATAAAGAAGTCCGGTTATGGAGTAGGTATATGACAAACACGTACGAACAGTTGACCAAAAAAGACAATACGTTACAGGATGCAGGGTTATATCAGGGTCAATTAATCGTGATAGAGCAGAAAAATCCCGACGGAACATGGCCTAGAAAAATTATAAAAAAAAAAGATTAAATAAAAAAGTAACGTAAGTAGCGTGTATGGTTTTAAGTTGATAAAAAAATTGTATAACAAAATGAACAGAATTTGGTTTAAGAAAGGTTGAATCTTAAAAAGTGAAAATGGATATTTAGCTAAAGGAACGATATTCATTACGGCTATAACTATAATACATCATGTTAACAAATGCATTTGCACAAAGTTTATGTATATGCATTTCATAAACGACAAGATTATTTAAATGCTTTATAGAGGAAGAACTATTGTATTTATTAGAGTAGAGCAAATTCAGTAACTTTTTCATGTTTCTTTCATTTTAATTGGTAAAATACCATACTTTGACTTTCGTAACACCCTCTTTGATTGTTTACCTTGTATCTGTATATATGCTAATAAAATTTTGTCATTGTTAGTCACATACATGTTTATGCTATGGTATATGCCGCAGTGTTGTATATATGCAAATGAATGAATAAACTTTCTGTTCTGTTCTGATTAAAATATAAAAAAAATAAAATATAAAACTTGCAATATTGCCTGATGCATCTTTTCAGCTCTTCAGACATTTTGGTACATATATAATAATAAATCATTGTATTTCTTTAATAGCCTTTCTCTGAATGTCTCTATCAGAAGTGTCGTTTTTGCATCCGGATATTTACAATTATTACGAAAGCATTTTTGCCAGTCTAAGTGAACATATTTTACAAGATATTTAGAACCTTTTTTATTTCAAGGTTCCTTATAATGTATTATTATAAATTGTGTTGTACATGTTTTAGGTGTACATTTCTTAAAAATGTCAATGCTTTCTTTATCTCACCTGTCCTCCTTACGATTTAATAAACATGAACTATGATCTACATATCTTGTGTCAATAGAGGATAAATTTAATCAATACAAGTATAATCAATATTAACGATATAATCATATTTGTTCTGACACGGTTTGTGATAGCGTTATGTAGATTAAATACGTTTTCGATTAAAATAGATACATGTATATATGTCAAATCTTTACTAATGTTAGCTTAGGACATGTGTATTCTTTTTTTTATTCATCTATTTCAACTATTTGTTTTGGTAAATATTGAATCAAAATTCAAAACATTTACATTAACTAGTGTGATTTAAATAAGTGAAATACAAACATTAATGTATATAATATTTGTATAGTTTGTCGTTCACTGTATTCTGTATGTTTACAATTTCATAACGAAAATAATGTATTGTATATGTTCATTGTTATTGTATAATTATGTTCATTGTTCGTTATGTTGTAATAACCTGTAGACATTAAAGAACGCCAAGGGAAGAAAGCGAATGCCAAAAATGTACCATAGATGTAATATAAAACTAGTTTTATTAAAAAAATTCCTCCAAATATGTCCAAAAATTATAACTAAAGGAAACAATTTGTAATACCATATTTCTGTTCATGGCCTTCTATTAAAATTCGAATTATTGATTTATCAAACTATGAATACTTTGTTTTGCAAAAAAGAGCTACAAAATATTTTGATTTTAGTATATTGAATATATATGTACTAAAAAGATCAATTAATCAAAATGTTGTTTTGTATCATTTTTCTGTAAATTAGTATGCACGTTTATCACTGGCTATATGTATGCTCGTGTTATTATTTGCCAAATAAAGATTTTGTTATGTATATTGTTTTTATGGGCTTATCAGCTTTATTTGATTAAAATAAATGTCTGTAAAATGCAGTCAACGAAAATTATAGATCTACATGTAGAGAGGTGCATAGATATTTTTTCCATATATATAAGCTTGACAACGTCAAGGTTTAATTGTGACGTTTATAGGTAAGATCTAAAAATGAAACTTGCAGAAACCATTTTAGCTCACCAGAACGGAAGGTTCAGGGTTAGCTATGAGTATCAAAGGGGGATGCTCCGGTGTCCGTCGTCATGCGTCAACATTTTTTTCCTCTGAAACTGCTGGGCAAATCTACTTCGAATTTGGTCTGAAGCATAATTGTGACAGTCGCACTTTAATTCGTTCATATCATTTGAATTCGCCCCTTTTAGGTGCCAACAGAGCTAAAAATAGAAAACTCTTAGAACTAATTGATGGATGATCACCAAATTTTGTCTGTAGCATTCTTAGATAATCTGTTATCAAATTTGTTCAAAATTTATTTTATCCGCTCATATCATTTCAATTTGCCCCTTTTAGGTGCAGAGCTAAAATGGAATTTTTTAAACATCTCCTACTAAACTAATGATGGAATGATAACCAAACTTTGTCTATAGCATTCTTATGTAGTCTTTTATCAAATTTGTTAATATTAATTTGATATGCATCTTTTAGGGGCCGCTTAAGCTCAAAATAGAAACAGCTTTTCTATTTTTCTCTTCTTCTTTTGAATTAATTGATTGATGAATGATCGCCAAACTTTGTCTTCTGCATTCTTAGAGGATTTTTATCAAGTTTGCTCAAATAAATTTGATGGCCTATTTTCAGGGGCCGCTAGATCTGAAAAAGGGAAAAAGAAATATGTAAACATCATCTTCAACTGAACTGATATCACTAGTGTTTGCTTGCACCTTTCCTTTTTTTAGAATTTACCAAATTAATGCTATTGGTTACTTTTATGACCTCGAGAGTCAAAAATAGAAACATTTTTTAATAGCTTTTCGAAATAAATTGTTTGAAATACTAACTAGATCTGTCTATTTCTTACTATGTTTTGCTTTTTATGTCAAACCCTTTAACATAACCATAGCTGCCACTTCATGTATTATTTTCAATACAAGCAGACATATTATTATAGAGGCTACCGTGGGCACCATGTTAAAATCGTTGACTTTAAATCATTTTCCTCTCACCACTTTAGGTTCGATACGATTGGTATTTTGGATTCTAACCATCTAGCTAGCATACATAATGTAGGTGGTCCTACACTGGTGCCCACTCTATTTGAACATATTATTAGGCCTAAAATAGTTATGGTTAGGGTAACCCTACCCTTACTAGCAAAATCTTCTGACCCTAATTTGTTTGATGTTTTTTCAGTGCGATTCGTTAGCATTTTATAGTCCGTATCACATTTTCAGCTCTAACAGGTAAGGAAAAGACAAACTGAATAAATCTTAATGAAGAAAATTGGCATTAAAACACTTAAAATGATGTCAGTATGAACAAGTTCAATGATTAAATAATAATAATAATAATAATAATAATAAAAAAAACCTACATACCCTACCTATTTTAAATGGACATGTTAACCTAACCACAACATGCCTTATGAAGCACACCAGTATTGAAACCTAAAAGTCTTAAGAAGTAAATTGGCTGAAGTCTACATATTTTACCAAGTAACAACAATATTCGCTGTTGAAATGCCCAAAACAAACATGATAATTATATAAACATTATTTTCCTTTCATGGATGATTCACACCAAAAAACTTCCGTAAAAATAGTGTACTTGCCTATCTCATACTGTTCGCAAATACATTTTACAAATAAAAATGTAAATGATTGTACTTTTCAAAAACAGTGATAAAAATAAGCAATTGTCCGTTGAAAATTGGCTGGGAAAGTTAGTCACGATATTTACTGTTCCGCCAAGCAAGTTCTTTTTTCACGAAAAAGAATCCATTCCTTTTTCCTTCTTTTCCGTAGTTTTTGCTTTTTGAGTTGTATAATAGCCAACTGTTATCCTGATTAATAATTGATTGAATGAAAAAGGAATTAAAAAGGTTCCAGTATGAAAAGGAATTTAGAAAGCGTGAGTTAACATGCTTAACTTGCCAGATGTACAGTAACAACAAACTTGGGTCATTTGTGAAAGGAAAAAACATACCCCCGAACAATCGGTGTTGGGAAATTATATACTAGTAACTTAAGGGGCAAATTGAAATTGAGCTGGACTTGCATTTCAAGTTCATTTGAAAAATTCTTTTTTCTAACACTGAAAAAACAACAACAAAAAACAAAAAAAAAACAACAATTATTTCTGGTGAGCGATTCAGGGTCATTATGACCCTATTGTTTGTTTAGTGATTACTATATGAAACTTTAATGGTACGAATGTAAAAAAACTAACAAAGCATATGAGCTGTAATGACAGACTTTTTAATTAACGATATAGACGTTTTTTAACAGTGCTGTAAAGTTGGATTCCAACTACAACAGGTTATATAATAATACATATGTAACATAATATTATTCAAGAAGTGTTTTTTCCGTAAATTTGTCAATCTTTACATTAAAAATAGATTGTGTTCGCGTTTTTTGATTTTTTTCGGGACGAAGAGCCGTTCTAGATCGATTTTGACTTTCTGTAAAATATACAAGGAGGGAACCTGAATATAAAAAGGAATCTTCATTGGTCATTGTTTAAGATCGGAAATTCTCATTTTGCAAATTCTATCATTAGTTTTAAGTTGAATTTAAAGGATCTTTCCCCTTGAAAAGAATTTTATTAAAATATTTCTAAATGGTCAAAAATGGGTTTTCCGGAAACAAACTTCCATGTTAAATTGCTCAGATTGATTTGAAAGCTGCTGAACTTTTCCTGCCCAATAATTAATTTACAACATCTTTGATTATTTCATTTATTCATTTCGTAGATATCTTATTATCAACATAAGAATTTTACCGAGTTTTTAAATGACATTCTAAAAAAACGAGTTTTTTACCCAAAAACGTCAGAACAAAATCACGGAAAAAAACATGTGCATCCCAAAAAGACAAATGCAAGTAAACCCGTTTTAACCTTTTTGGTTGTCTTTTTAAAAAGTTTTTTTGGGTTTTTTTTTTGTTTTTTTTTTCAATGGCATATTCCCCCAAATTCGAATATAAATTAAACTTTTTACATTTAAAACACAAAAATTTTTACTTGTTAAACTTTCTGGCAACAGGGAAATTTTTTTACGTTGGGCCTGTTTTGTTTTACTAACTGGTAGTAAACTAAAAAAAATGTTTTATTTTCGGAAAATGCTCTTCTTAAAAAAAATATCCTCATTTTCAATTAACTCATTTTTTAGTGTAATATATAACATATATTCACCCAAATACCAAAAAATTTTATTTGTATAAAATCCCCCTTTAATTTTAACTCGATAGATATATCTAAACATACAATTATCTTTTCTCTTTTAATAATATAACAAAACATCTATCCCCAGATATAACAGATACAAGGAAAACACTCTATCCCCAGATATAAAGACACGAGGAAAACACATCTATCCCCTGATATACAGATACAAGGAAAACACTCTATCCCAAGACATAAACATACACAAGGAAAACACTCTATCCCCCAGATATACAGATACAAGGAAAACATTCTATCCCCCAGATATACAGATACAAGGAAAACACTCTATCCCCAGATATAAAGACACGAGGAAAACAATCTATCCCCCGATATACAGATACAAGGAAAACATCCCCAGATATCTACACTCTATCCCCAGATATACGAGGAAAACAATATATCCCTGATATACAGATACAAGGAAAGCATTCTACAGATATACAGATACAAGGAAAACACTCTGTCCTCAGATATACAGAACATAAGGAAAACATTCTATCCCCAGATATAAAGACACGAGGAAAACAATATATCCCCAGATATACAGATACAAGGAAAACACTCTATCCCCAGATATACAGATACAAGGAAAACACTCTATCCCCAGATATAAAGACACGACGAAAACAATATATCCCCTGATATACAGATACAAGGAAAACATTCTATCCCAAGACAAACATACACAAGGAAAACACTCTATCCCCCGATATACAGATACAAGGAAAACATTCTACCCCAAGATATACAGATACAAGGAAAACACTCTATCCACAGATATAAAGACACGAGGAAAACAATCTATCCCCCGATATACAGATACAAGGAAAACATTCTATCCCTAGATATACAGATACAAGGAAAACACTCTATCCCTAGATATACAGATACAAGGAAAACACTCTATCCCAAGATATACAGATACAAGGAAAAACACTCTGTCCTCAGATATACAGACATAAGGAAACCGATATATCCCCAGGTATACAGACATAAGGATAACAGGTCCCAGGTATACAGACATAAGGATAACACTCTATCCCCAGATATACAGATACAAGAAAACACTCTATCCCCAGATGTACAGACACAAGGAAAACATTCTATCCCAAGACAAACATACACAAGGAAAACACTCTATCCCCCGATATACAGATACAAGGAAAACACTCTATCCCCAGATATAAAGACACGAGGAAAACAATATATCCCCTGAGATACAGATACAAGGAAAACATTCTATCCCCAGATATACAGATACAAGGAAAACACTCTATCCCCAGATATAAAGACACGAGGAAAACAATATATCCCCTGATATACAGATACAAGGAAAACATTCTATCCCAAGACAAACATACACAAGGAAAACACTCTATCCCCCGATATACAGATACAAGGAAAACATTCTATCCCCAGATATACAGATACAAGGAAAACACTCTATCCCCCAGATATAAAGACACGAGGAAAACAATCTATCCCCCGATATAACAGATACAAGGAAAACATTCTATCCCCAGATATACAGATACAAGGAAAACACTCTATCCCCAGATATAAAGACACGAGGAAAACAATATATCCCCTGATATACAGATACAAGGAAAACATTCTATCCCCAGATATACAGATACAAGGAAAACACTCTGTCCTCAGATATACAGACATAAGGAAAACATTCTATCCCCAGATATAAAGACACGAGGAAAACAATATATCCCCAGATATACAGATACAAGGAAAACACTCTATCCCCAGATATACAGATACAAGGAAAACACTCTATCCCCAGATATAAAGACACGAGGAAAACAATATATCCCCAGATATACAGATACAAGGAAAACACTCTATCCCCAGATATACAGATACAAGGAAACACTCTATCCCCAGATATAAAGACACGAGGAAAACAATATATCCCCTGATATACAGATACAAGGAAAACACTCTATCCCCAGATATACAGATACAAGGAAATAATTCTATCCCCAGATATAAAGACACGAGGAAAACAATATATCCCCTGATATACAGATACAAGGAAAACACTCTATCCCGAGATATACAGACACAAGGAAAACACTTTATCCCAAGATATACAGATACAAGAAAAAAACACTCTTACCCCAGATACAAGGAAAACACTTTATCCCAAGACAAACAGACACAAGGAAAACACTCTTACCCCAGATATACAGATACAATGAAAACACTCTATCCCCAGATATACAGATACAAAGAAAACACTCTATTTCAAGACAAACAGACACAAGGCAAACACTTTATCCCGAGATATACAGATACAAGGAAAAACACTCTATCCCCAGATATACAGATACAAGGAAAACACTTTATCCCCAGATATACAGATACAAGGAAAACACTCTATCCCCAGATATACAGATACAAGAAAAACACTGAATTTCAAGACAAACAGACACAAGGAAAACACATTATCCCCAGATATACAGATACAAGGAAAACACTATATCCCCAGATATACAGATACAAGGAAAGCACTCTATCCTCAGATATACAGACATAAGGAAAACACTCTATCCCCAGTTATACAGATGCAAAGAAACAATATATCCCCAGATATACAGTCATGAGAAAACACTCTATCCCCAGAGATACAGATACAAGAAAACACTCTATCCCCAGATGTACAGATACAAGGAAAACACTCTATCCCAAGACAAACATACACAAGGGAAACAATCTATCCCCCGATATACAGATACAAGGAAAACATTCTATCCCCAGATATAAAGACACGAGGAAAACAATATATCCTCAGATATACAGATACAAGGAAAACACTCTATCCCCAGATATAAAGACACGAGGAAAACACTCTATCCCAAGACAAACATACACAAGGGAAACAATCTATCCCCCGATATACAGATACAAGGAAAACATTCTATCCCCAGAGATAAAGACACGAGGAAAACAATATATCCCCAGATATACAGATACAAGAAAACACTCTATCCCCAGATATACAGATACAAGGAAAACACTCTATCCCCAGATATAAAGACACGAGGAAAACAATATATCCCCAGATATACAGATACAAGGAAAACACTCTATTCCCAGATATACAGATACAAGGAAAGCACTCTATCCTCAGATATACAGACATAAGGAAAACACTCTATCCCCAGTTATACAGATGCAAAGAAACAATATATCCCCAGGTATACAGACATAAGGATAACACTCTATCCCCAGATATACAGATACAAGAAAACACTCTATCCCCAGATGTACAGATACAAGGAAAACATTCTATCCCAAGACAAACATACACAAGGAAAACACTCTATCCCCCGATATACAGATACAAGGAAAACACTCTATCCCCAGATATAAAGACACGAGGAAAACAATATATCCTCAGATATACAGATACAAGGAAAACACTCTATCCCCAGATATAAAGACACGAGGAAAACACTCTATCCCAAGACAAACATACACAAGGGAAACAATCTATCCCCCGATATACAGATACAAGGAAAACATTCTATCCCCAGATATAAAGAAACGAGGAAAACAATATATCCCCAGATATACAGATACAAGGAAAACACTCTATCCCCAGATATACAGATACAAGGAAAACACTCTATCCCCAGATATAAAGACACGAGGAAAACAATATATCCCCAGATATACAGATACAAGGAAAACACTCTATCCCCAGATATACAGATACAAGGAAAACACTCTATCCCAAGAGAAACATACACAAGGAAAACAATCTATCCCCCGATATACAGATACAAAGAAAACATTCTATTCCCAGATATAAAGACACGAGGAAAACAATATATCCCCAGATATACAGATACAAGGAAAACACTTTATCCCCAGATATACAGATACGAGGATAACACTCTATCCCCAGATATGATATACAGCTACAAGGTAAACAGATATACAGATAAAATGGGCAAACCGTGACACAAATCTTCATCGTGGCATACACGACAAGTATGGACGCTTTGCGACTTCTTAATTAATGAATGATCGCAATGAATGTTTTTGCTTTATTCTTTATTATACATGTAATAGAAAGAGCATCGAAACACGAGGCTATCTGATTTGTACGAGGGGGCGTAGTCCCCGAGTATTAATCAGATTGCCGAGTGTTTTGATGTTCTTTCTCTTTTGTATCATAGTCAAACATAAAAACACTTTCCCTGTTGTCACAATATGAAACCCCGGGAAAAAGTAACCAATGAACGAGCATCTGAATATGATATTTCTGTCGCTTTCCCTTTCTCTTCCGACACAATAAGTACACCCCAATCAATGGGCATGCTCTCGAGTGCGGGTGACTAATACCTGCACTCCAGTTAACGCACTGTGCATGTATATGTATACGATTTAACTCTGACACATTTTCAACAGAAAGGTCCCCAACTATATTCAGAGTGTCAAATTCTTATAAAAACATATCCTGCAAAGAAATATTGATAGCTAAATACCCTCTATTTTAACCTTATTAATTCTACCAGGTAGAATTATGTTATTATCGGTTCAGAGTTCAGTTCCTTGCTACTCATTAGCTTGTTTTAATACTATTTTGACGGTAAATATTAAGAAAAAATAAATGAGCCGTGTCATGACAAAACCAACATAGTGGGTTTGCGACCAGCATGGATCCAGACCAGTCTGCACATTCGCGCAGTCTGATCAGGATCCATGCTGTTCGCTATCAGTTTCTTTACTTGTAATAGGGTTTGTAAGCGAACAGCATGGATCCTGATCAGACTGCGCAAAAGCGCAGACTGGTCTGAAACCCACTATATATGTTTGTTTTGTCATGGCTCAAATCATTTAAACAGCAAACAAGTAGCAGATTAATAAATGTTGTTGTTGAAAGAAAATTCTTATAGAAAGGTCTACAAATCTTTTAAATTAGGCGGTCTCAAAGTAGAAGAAAATTTAGGTTCAGAACATATTATAACATTACATCCAAAAAAAAGGTTATAAAAATATAGAAATATTAAACATTATTATAACATTATATTTGAATAAGTACTCTGGTTCCGACAGCCTATTAGTTTGTCAATTATCTTGTTCTTTGTTACATATTGTACGGGTATTGTTTTATACGCATTGTCTATCAAATATTTATAAATCATTAAGTATTCGTTATATACCTGATGCTGCAGCTACTGTTGCCTAGCAACACTAACGCCTTCTGCTCGGTCAACTAGACGCTCATTGAGAGTCATTATATTGGTTTCTGCTTCTATCAGATGGGTTTATCATTCACAATCTATCAAGCTGTCGAGTTATAGAATGTTTCTAGTAAAAGGTAAGTGAAAGTTTTATCAAACTTTTTATTTCCTCATGAACTGAAATATTCTTTTTTTTAAATATGAAATGCGACAATGTTCTTCCATAAGTAATGAGTCTTTTATGATATACACTGTTATACTTATAGATGCGTTAACTTTCATTTTGTGAAGGGGACAATAAATATTTTCCTCATAATACTTAGACGGAAGTTTAAATGAAACATTTCCTTATGCTGCACTAGCACTGACTCAATGAAATAATATACAGTTGGAAAAAAGAAGGTTCCATTGTTTTTAAAGATTTGAATTATATCTACTATTTAATGATTTTCTCAACGTATTTTGGTAAAGTAGACCCTAAACGGTAAAAATAATTATATACTGATGTAAAGTGTGTATTATACTATAACAGTTATTTAAATTACATTTTAATTATAGATTTTATAAGACATAAATATAAAAAGATCAAATGTGATGAAATATAGAGCTAGTAAGTTTCAAACAAGCGATGTAAATATTTCGCTTTTTTTTTTATCTAATATTATTTTTAATAAATGTATTTTATAGGAATAATGTTAATTTATTTTGTGTGTGTGAAATGGAGAAACAGGCTATAGGCCTATTGCCTTTTAAAATGCTACAGGAATCCTGCCAGATATATATATAAAACACAGAAAAGAATTATGATTTGTGCATCATAACATTAAACATTCCTACTTATATATGTTTGTGCTATATCAGTACATGATCTGAGAGTGTGTAATCAAATCTGGCATAATTTAGGACGATTATCAGCGTCAGCATCGTGGAATAATAAAGCTACACTTTAAACGTAACACCAGACGATATTTACATACATAATGCTTCTGTTGCAGACGAGAGTTTTTGTGTATAAATAGTGTTCTTAAAGTCAAGAAAACACACTCGTGTAACTTCCGGAATATCACTTGTGTGTTTCCGGCTAGCTTTAGTATATGATTTTTTTCACTGTATAAGTTTGAAAAGTTTGTGTTTCAGAGAGCACGTATAATGTGGGGATAATTATCACGGACATGGATTTAATAAGCTGATAATACCGATGTGAAGGAAATACATGTAAGTTCTATGTATTAACAGTGTATAGCTTCTGTGTTGTTGTTGATGTTGTTGTTAAATTCTTTGCCAGACTTATCTAAAGGGTAAAATCAACTAAATATAAGTAACATGTAATTCTCTTTTTTTTCTCTCGTATTGTTTAAAGTACAGAGTCTCTACTTCTGATATCTCTGAGAATAATTGAAAGTTATTGATTATATAATGCGCAGTCAAACCTATAAAAGCAAGTAAATTTTCGACGTTTTATAACATAGTGTCCAACTGAACATTCCTTTATTGTGATACTGGCATATACTAAAACGCGGAGTGGAATACAATGCATTTGAATGATACTGATCGGATTTCTCGTTGGGTATTGTTGACAAATTACTTGATAAGAATTGATGTTACTCGTTCATCTCGCAGTCTTTATCATTGACATTGCTTAAATAATAATGGTCTGTAAATTCGTCTTTACAGTGATTTACAATGAGAGACATAAACGATTAATTATTCAGGAAAATTATGAATTCATTACGTAAGGTTACTCTGTGATCACGGAGAAATGCCATCTGTGAAAGGGTGCTGGTCTCTGGAGCGGAAGTTGTAAATAATGGTGAAAGGGTGCTGGTCTCTGGAGCGGAAGTTGTGAATAATGGTGAAAGGGTGCTGGTCTCTGGAGCGGAAGTTGTAAATAATGGGTAAACATTGATCAAACATTGTCTGCCCTGATTTTATACTGCAATTACTTCAGATAATAATAATTCCTTTCAGTAATACAAAGTGAAATCTAATATTGGACATTATAAATATAAGCGAGAAATCATCGCTCAATATGTTAAAACAACAGAAGGTACATGTATTCGTAATACGAAATAAATTCGGAACAAAAGTCGATCATTAATATATACAGATCACGGGGCTGATATGTTAAAGAGTTTTAGATGTTATGATAATTTCATCTAGACATATTACATAAGCAAACTACGGGGAATAGCGCGTGTTTTCTGAAGGTCACGGTTGTTTGTTATTCGTGACTGTACACGATAAAGTGATTACTGGAAAGGTCAGATAAAATCTCAGTTAAACAAAGAAACCTCAAAGTCGGGAGGTTGTGTTACTTGCAGTCATTGCCTTTAATTTATTATTCAACAAAGCATACGTTCGCGTGTAAATGCGAGGGAAAATTCCATCTGACAATTTTCCAATTATCATATTAAACAAAATGACTTGTTTTGTGAAGAAAAAACTTGTAGTTGAAAACTCTTTAAAGATTTAGTTTTACTCAGTTTTGAAGAATAATGAAAGCGGAATTTATTTCCAAATCAATTCTTAAATTTTGAAAATTTGTAATTTAGATTGTCTGGAGGCATGAGTATACGCAAACTGCGTTGGAAAACTAAGCATCGCCCTACATAGAAATGTAGTAGAAGTTCATAGATAATTCCGAGTTCCTTTAAAAGTAGAAAATAGTATTGGGTAGCTTTTAACAAATACACAAAAGATGCCTTTATATATGTTTGTGGACTAGATTGCCTTAAAATGCAAGATAATTGTTTAAGAATTCGAATCCTTTTTACGATCACGGATAGTTGTTGAATAAAATGTGGAAATATATCTATTAGTTGTTGAAATAGTTCATATATATATATAAAAGAAATTTCATAACATATGAAATCGAGGTTAATTATCATTCTAAAAAAATCAGAACACGTGATAATGCATTTTTAGTTTCCAGTTTAATACTTTAATTTTGACAGAATATATCTTTTTATTTCTTCTCAAGGTACATGGCAATACAGCATGACGATGTACTATATCCGGATTAACAAACTTCCGGTAGCACTTTAAACGAAGATGTATAATGTTTTGAGGCTTTAATGCAATTTGATGATAAAGATGTTTATTTAGGGACAATCCTTCAACTAAGACTGAAAAATACGTACAATATTCATATGATGTTATAGTTTTGATATATACTAAAAATATAAGGAAAATACTAAACGGTATTGTCATACCATGGAAAAAAACAAAGTTAAAGTTAGAGTGTATATCATATTACATGTACTTTGAATATATTACGATGTTATTGTAAAGGAAAATAAACAATAACACAATAGTGTCTACATTAACATTGATACGCTGAAGATAACCATTTAATGTACAGTAAATATATACATACATACATTTGTAAAGACAAATATGATCAGCAAGTTATATAGAGACTTCATGTATATCATGCATAGCATTTCATTTACTTTTAAATCCAAAAAACATACTAGTGTCTTAATAAAAAAAAACAAATAAATAGATAAATAATATTTTTACGTACGATTTAAATTCATACTGATCAATATTTTAAAACTTGTCAAAAAGAAAAAGAAGGCATTACTATTTCCGTAGGTAGGGAAAGTTGGTGGTTTATGCACGTGAAAATCATGAAAATCATGAATTTCATACTTGTAATTTTACAACGAAAAATAATGTCATTCATATGTTTGTATAATTCTTACATGCTAGATAACACAGATGTTTTGGAATTAATTGCGTAAGTAAGTTTTGCAGGAAAAAAGGTGATTAATATAAATATATGCATGATAAGTAAGAATTGTCATTAAGGAATCTTGTTGTAAAACGCAGATATTTTCCGCGCAGTCTGATCAGGATCCATGCTGTTCGCTTACAAACCCAATTACAAGTAGAGAAACTGATAGCGAACAGCATGGATCCTGATGAGACTGTGCGGATGCGCAGGCTGGTCTGGATTCATGCTGGTCGCAAACCCACTATGTTGGTTTTGTCATGACGCGGCTCTTATCCCTTAAAGGATACTTAGTTACTAAGAATATATATTAATATAAATTAGTTCCCATGCCTGGCAGACGAATCATCAATATTCATCTATTAATATTTGTTTTCTCAACTCTCATGAGATCTTCCCTTTTTCAAGTTTATAAATTATTTCATCGGGATCCTTCAAAATGGCGAAAGTCAAACTGTACGAGTATTAATTTCAGAGCATTTCCTACATCAGCAGCAGTGTATTGATTTGTTATGAATTGCCATTTCTTTTACAAGCTTTCATATTTTTATTGATCCAGCATAATAATCTCAGAGCGTTAAAACACGTGTTTTACCCTTTTTATAGTAATTTAGCCCGAAACGAACAGAAATAAAATATATGGACATTTAGTCATTAATCACGTATTTCTGGGAAAATAATTCAATTTTATTATACCAGGAATTAGTTTCACTGGAGATGTGAACCCGCGCATCTTTATTTCATTACGGACATCATGAGGGTATAAAACATAGCTTTTTAATGAGGACAATTTTATTTGCTGCTGAACATTTGAAGAAACATCCGTTTTTCAAACACAGAAGCAAAACAGTGAACGTTTTAAAGTAACAGGGTTACTGTAAGAAGTAAACAGCGGATAAAATAGTTTGTTGAAAGATTGTTAATCATTGGATTTAAAGTTGTCTTTATCGTTATTTGCAGGAAAGCAATTGTAGAGAGATGTGGAAAGGACCCTGTTTCCAGGAAAGGCATTATGTTAACTGGAAAGGTTTACCGTTCTATCGGAGTCGTTTTAGCTTTTGGTGGGATATTGTACCTTTTTATGGCAACACGAATTAACAACGGGGCCGATGTGTCAGGTTAGGAACTATTTTTACATTTTGTTGTTATAATAGCATTGATTTACACACTATATGTTAGTAGTTCTTAAAGGTTATGAATAATGAGACATTTGACAACAGGCTAGTCATATTTTATATTTTCAAGAGCAGAAGTATTTTGTTTTGTACGAAATAGAGACAGTGAATTAAGTTTTATCGATCCATTGCCTGCGTTCTCATCAGACGACGCGTTGTTTCCGTTTTATTTCTGTTCCAAGAAGATATTTTGTCAATATTATTCCCTAATGATAGCTCGTGTCTAAATTTATAAAAGGAATGTAATGGAAATTAAATCAGTTTATATCCTATCCTGTAAATCTAATTGATTTCTCTTTGACATTCAAGATGCATCACTTTGTCACCTGAGGATAACTTGAATATCATGTTAGGGTAGCAGATTCTTTCTTTTTAAAGGCCCATAAAGCCCCCAAAATGCTCAAATGTTTTCTTTCTCATTTTTAAAAAAGTTTTTTTTGGTGTGTTTTGTTACTGTTTCTAAACTTGTAATCATAAGCTATTAAGCTGAATTATCATATGTTTCTTCTGCTTTTTAATCATTATTATAGACAAAGCATGGAAGACATATATTGTTTAGTAACTTTATGTTGTCCTACATTTATTTTAAATAGTTTTGCTTCAAATTATGTCACATTCAAAACTACTTTCATCACACGATATATTACATGTTCTAAATTAATTATTAAAACATTTTCAAAACACACCTATTTCTTCCGGTATATTGTTTAGGATTAAGGTACCTTTTATGGATAACATTACGGCAAGGTCAGAAATAACATGCCATAATGTTAGTCTTCAAGAATTATTTCTTGGAAACATCGTCATATTACCCTAGTTTAATAAGTTCTTAGAGCTCTCATTAAAACATAAACGTTCTTAATTCAGAAACATAATGAAAGTTGAGATAAATCTGCATGTAAATTATATAAAATGTTCTATATATAAAGCAGTATAAGATGGTATTTTGTCACGTGTTGAATGTTTTTATAGTTTTAATGATGCTAGCTTATATGGTGGACATTTGATATCTGCACGTGTATTGTTTATTCTTTAATATCAATCATATTGTGGGAATGTATTACTGAATCTTGAAAAGAAATTTTTTTTTAGAAATATGAGGTGAATATGATATGACACATTGAAAACGTTTCGTAGGGACTGTAAATTGCAGTGTTCCGTTAGAAAGCGCGAAACATGACAGTACGACAGTACAATAGAGAAACACGACAGTGCGATGGTGACAATACGAATGTACGATGGTAACAATACGACAGTACGATGGTGACAGTACGACAGTACGATGGCGACAGTAAGATGGTGAAAGCACGACAGTACGATGGTGATAGCACGACGGTACGATATTGACAGCACGACAGTACGATGGTGACAATACGATGGTGACAATAAGACAATACAATGGTGACAAAACGACAGTATGACGGACCGCCACCATCGTATTTCCGTATTGTTACAATCGTGCTGTCATGTTTCGCGCTTTTCGTTCTCAGCGAAAACGCGCTGGCCCTAACGCATCACTGTAGTAAATAGTTTTTGTTTTATTTTAGATTTTAAATGAACTTGCATATACCTTTCTGGACAGAATCAAATATAAATCTTTTAAAGAATTATCATTTCCATAAGGCTTAACATCAGGCATCAGGCAGATGTAAAAAGTTGCCCCGTATTGCACTTTATTACTGTTATATTTTTCTGGTCCTTTGGGATCATTTATTCCAGCATATTAGTGTCGAATATTGAATACCAATTAGCCGATGCTAGTGAGATGTTGATTTTTTACATTTTTTCTCGTGAACAGACACAATCAGACCGAGTTTACAATGTTCACTGCTTCTGTGCGATCACTCCTTTTTCATTTTTTTAAAAACAGAATGCGTATACAATTAACTGCCTCGGTTGTATGACAATTTAATCTACATGCACATGGACGCATTACAATAATGTACATTGCTTATTTAATACATTTCATAGATATATATATACATGTATATAATTTTTATATATATATTTTTTTCAGATGTTGTTTTGTTTCAACCGGTGCCCACAGACCTGAGCGGAGAAAAACCCGTTTCATATAAATCACACCATCTACACCTTACTTCCAAAAATGATGCATCTTTGATAAAACCAGGAGTTAAAAACGTTGATATAAACAACACGTCGTCATTTGTTGATATTCAACAAAACCATTCAAACAATAATCTATACAACATAACTATAAAGGACAAAACGAGTGTCATTAATGTTCACAAAGTGATCAAAATGACGAGAACTGAACCAAACGTGACCGCGGCAATATCACCAAGCCTTAGTCACAGCTCTGTAGATTCCAACCATATTGATAAAATACCAACCGTTCTTAGCGATAAGAAAGTAATTATAATTATTGCTTACATGAGAACTGGGTCAACATTGACTGCATCTCTTTTACAAGAACACCCGAACACTTTCTATGTTTTTGAACCTATACGTAGTGTAAATACCAAGTTCAAAGAAGCTAAGAAAAAGAACTTGACAAGTACTTTATTACATTACGTTCATGGAATAGAAAGGTAAGTTATTTTCGGTGTCATCATTGGTTATTTTAATCCATCTTTGATGACGTAGTTCAGATGAAGACAGTTCACTTTTTGTTAAACATTGTGTTACTTGTAATTCAGTACTCTATTTATTGAAAAAAGTGAATGAAAAATAATTATTAGAAAACTGATTAAAAAAAATCCTGCAAACAAATAAGCTGACTAAAAAATTGACAAATGGATCTAGGCAGGAATGATAGATGTTCAACTTTTGTTTACTTCGATTTGTTTGTTTGATTGGGTTTTAGGTCACATCGACGCATAATAGGTCATATGGCGACGTTCCAGCTTTACTGGCTGAGGAAGACCTCGGGTGCCCTTCTGTACATTATTTCAGGCACGAACGGGCACCTGAGTAGAACTACTGACGTTCCGTAAGCTAGCTGGATAGCTTCCTCACACGAAATAATCCAAAGTCCGTGTCGGGATTCGAACCCACAGCAGTGAGGGACAAGTGGTCAACGACCTTAACCACTCGGTCACGAACGCCCCGTTTTTACTTCGAAGTGAACATGATAAAAATAAATCACTTAATGTTTTAGCGTGTTCATATATATAATTTTATAATACCATAGAGAATACATCTTTTTTTGAATTACAGAATTGCATGGATTTATACATTTCAGGAATTACACATTTTCAAAGAAATCACAAGTAATGTTAGATGAAATTAACAGTTGGCTGACATGCAAACTAGATTCTATAAGCAAAGAAAGTCTAGGCGATGATTTCCATAGACATTACACCAAAATTATGAAGCTATTTTATTACTGTAGCCATGGTGTTATGGCTAGTCTAAGTACTTCAAAGAAATTAGCGATGCATAGTAGACTTCATCCGCGATTGCGGCAATATTATGAAAAAACAAAAAGCATGGACTCGTGTCTGAGAAGAGCAATAGATTCTTGCCAGAAATCTACAACTAGGTTGCTGAAGCTTATTCGGTTACGCATGAAAGAGATAGAGAAAATATTACCATTGTATCCAAATATGAAAGTTATTCATCTTGTCCGAGATCCGAGAGGTATTATTAACTCTAGAGTGAAAGTACATGCTTTAAAGCCGAGTATCTATGAAGAAAATATAAATGAACTTTGTGATGCACTTAAAGAGGACCTTAAATACTCCAAAAGAATTTTACAGCATTATCCAGATAGACTAAAGGTTGTTCATTATGAAGACATGGCTGAACATCCGATGGAAACAGCAAAATCTCTTATAGATTTTGCAGGACTACAGTTTACTAAACATATGCAAGACTTTTTGCTAAAACAAACGCATTCAGCACGTGATTCATGTCCATATTGCACACAAAGACGAGATTCAAATGCAACAGCTCATAAATGGCGGACTCAACTTGATCTAAAAAATGCAAGTTATATTTATGACAAGTGCAGATACAGTAGTGGAGTTTTAGGATATTTACCATTGTCAACTGTTAGTTCTCTGCGAAATATAGAAATTGCCTCTAGGCAACCTTTTGATGTGAATAAACTTTTACTCAATGAAAACTTCTGACAATACCAGTTCGTACAGTATTGCAATTTGAGCATTTAAAAAAACCATTCAATTTCACGACTTGTTTCAAACTTACCAAAAATGAAACATGATTATAAATGTTTTAAAATATGAGTCTATGAGAATAATATGTATTTAAAAGATGTGTTATGTGCTGAAATATTTTTAACGAAGGTTTGTTATTCTAAATATTTTACAAACCTTAGCATGACATGTTTACAGATTTATGAATTCACATTAACGTGATTATAGTCTGTTTATTGATAGATCAAGGGTCAAACTGATAGGAAACTAATAACATAAGGGAATTAAACTAATTACATAAGGGATAAACACCAAATGTCTTTCAGTCAAGAAAATATAAAAAAATAAACGTTACAATTATATGTCTTGTAGCGTTCCTGGTTGAATAATTGTGTGAATGTCAATGTTTTAGCCAACACCTTATAATTTAGAATATATGGAACTTAAAGGGACTCCACTGAAGTGTTTTGATCTTACAGACTGGAAATCCATTTTTGAGATAAATGCTCTATTTGTTACAGGTCAAGATAAATAACGTGTGCAAAATTTCAAATCGTTCCTTCACTCCGTTTTTTCCGGAATAATTATTTCATTTGCAAAATTAATTAAAATTGATAGCGTTGTAACCCTTTTCACTTAAACTGGGCCTCGAATAGCAGAATTACTCGTTCTGTGTACATTTCGTAATTATCTTTTGCATAGCTTCCTGTTTAAAATTCCCCACCTGGTCTATGTAAATAAATTAAAATCTTATGTTTTTGAGCGTTTGGACCTCTGGAGTTCCATTAAAGTTGAATTATTTTGTTAAAAAGTTTATTTAGATGTGTAACAATATAACAATATCTATGACAATCATGTACAAATATGTTTCTGATTCTTTTTAAAAAGTCTCGGTTATTTGAAGAGAATTGTCACACACTGTTATTATCAGATTTATTTATTTGTCGTTAAAATGGCCAATATCGGTTATTTGAAGAGAATTGTCACACACTGTTATTATCAGATTTATTTATTTGTCGTTAAAATGGCCAATATCACTGATTCAGATGTTAGAATAGTCAATATATGTCTGATTCAGATGTTAGAATGGTCAATATATCACTGATTCAGATGTTAGAATGGTCAATATATCACTGATTCAGATGTTAAAATTTGTCAACAAATCACTGATTCAGATGTTAAAATTGCCAGTATATCACTGATTTCAGATGTTAAAATTTCCAATATATCACTGATTCAGATGTTAGAATTTCCAATATATCACTGATTCAGGTGTAAAAATTGGCAAAATATCACTGATTCAGATGTTAAAATTTCCAATATATCACTGATTCAGATGTTAAAATTTCCAATATATCACTGATTCAGATGTTAAAATGGTCAATATGTCACTGATTAAGATGTTAAAATGGTCAATATGTCACTAATTCAGATGTTCAAATGGTCAATATATCACTGATTCAGATGTTCAAATGGTCAATATGTCACTGATTCAGATGTTCAAATGGTCAATATATCACTGATTCAGATGTTCAAATGGTCAATATGTCACTGATTCAGATGTTAAAATTAACAATATGTCACTGATTCAGATGTTAAAATTAACAATATGTCACTGATTCATATGTTAAAATTAACAATATGTCACTGATTCAGATGTTAAAATGGTCAATATGTCACTGATTCAGATGTTCAAATGGTCAATATGTCACTGATTCAGATGTTCAAATGGTCAATATATTACTGATTCAAATGTTAGAATTCTCTGGAAGGTTTATAACAGATTTTTTATGATTGCTGTCTTCGAAGTCTAGATCAATATAACCTAGTATATTAAAGAACATACAACATTAAAATCTGATTAGTTTAACAAATTGTAGGTATTGAAGTATGGCGGATTTACTCGCTAGAAAATTTATTTTATATTTACAAATAAAGAAAGAAAATAAAATAAACAACACAATTTACAGGTACTTGGGACCATAAGAGACTTAAGACATTGTAGCGTTGATTAAGTTATATTAGTCACGGACTGTCTGGTGATAACAGACTTGTCTATACATTTAATTTGTACATGTATATCTTTTTCAAGATCGTCAAATATGTTTTCTTCCTCTTCCTTTTACATTATTTTTATTTAGTGAGTTTTTCAAAGTCCTTAACCCTTTTTCTTACTATAAGTGAACGTGGAAATACTCAAAGTCGACGCTCTACATGATGTATGTCATCTGTGATTTGTAAAAAACTTGATATGTATATAAATAAGAAATATATAAATATATTTCATAATTTATGTGTTCTTTGATTTTTTAATTTTTTTTTTATATTAATGATCATTGAATCAACTGTTTACGAAATATGTAATACGAAATATATAGGTCTATAAATATTGCACAACAGCTGAATAGTATGCCTTTATTATTTCAGTAAAACGGCGGGAAATAATGGACAACAGTGCAAAATCAATTATGTCCGAAACTAAATATCAATAACAAGAAGTATCTTTAAAGATCCTCGGACGAGGCAAAACTACTTTTACTTAAAACTCGGTAAATTCTTATGTTGAATAAGATATTCACTTTAAAATTAATGAAACATTTTAAAGCAGTGTAAAATATTTTTGGAAGGAAATTCATAGATTTCAAATAACGGAGAAATTTAACTAGAAAGTGCGGTATCGATACTTCTTTAGATTATTTTATAATTTGGACGAATGTACGTTTCAGAAAGATCCTTAAGATTATTATTATGCTAACTTTAGAATGGCCAATGAGATTCCCGGATTTCAGTGTGCAAATTATTAAAATTCTTTTAATATTCAGTTTCTTTTCTGTAAAATTTACAGGAAGTAAAACCGATAAAACACGGATTTCGTCCGAAACAAAACTCAAAATTGTATTCGCCTTATATTAGATAAAATGGTTTCCAGGACAGTTTCACTTTAATTGCTAAAAGTGTGGAAACGAAATAACCTTTGAGGAAAAAAAAAAAACTAATCGTCATTGCAAAATCACAAAAATTGTAAAAGAAATCTCTACATTCTCTTGCTTTAAATACAAGATGACACTTTCATTAAAATCTAGTATGTTTAACAAAACGAAAGCAACAATGATTATGTTAATTTAAAGAGAGTTATAGTTCAGATAAATACTTCTTATCAACTCATTTGTTAACAGGATTAAATTTGACATGAAACATTGTTTTTTTACAGAAATTCACAAAAAAAAATCTAGGGTTAGGTAACTTGTTTGATATAACTAAATAAACTCACTTTGCTTTACAAAATACAGGATGTATTTTTAAAGAGTTTTCAGATTTGTGTTCACTGTTCCTTTTTTTCAAAGACATGTGTAATAACTTGATGATAAGTAAACATTCGATCACGATTGAACACGTTAAAACAAGAAGTTCTTTAATAGGACCTCATAATACACACATGCATAGTATTGGTCTTCGATATATCACTTTTTTTTCTTCAGTTTCGTATTTGGTAAAAATCAAAGAATTTATATATTATATACATAAAATAAAAAATAATTCGATTGAAGCTTCAAGGTATTATGTAGCTCAGAATATGATAGAGGAAGAATATGGTATATTTACTTATAACATCACATAGTAAAAAAAGAACAACAACAACAACAAAATAATGAGAGCAGTGGCGGGTGAAATAGCTGTTTATATTGAGATACCGGTATTATGACGTTTAATATATTATAATATGGCATAAGCAATCTCGTTTGGTCATTGATTTAAAGAATGTTTCTACAAATTACAATTCTAAGATTCCAGTGTAGTTAAACACGTACATTTAATAATGAATATGTTCAAATTATTCAATTCATTGAGAATCCAGAGAATCATTTGCACACTTCGTTTTTCCAGAATAAGTATCAAATTGTAAAAAAGTGACCCAAAATTTTTTAAACGCTTTTTACTCAAATCGGGCTAAGAAAAGCATAAAAATACGATTTTCATTTTATTTCAAAGTATATTTCTTAACTGCCTTTGCATATATTTCTGTTTAAAGCGTCCCAGCTCATTTATGTAAGAAATTCAAATGTTATGTTTTAGACTTTTAAACATCAGTGGAGTCGCTTTAAGTTTGACACTGTTAAAAGAACCACCAAATTGTAGTACAAATGACATGTCTAATTAAAAAGAGATAAGGGACATTTAGTTTGCAGTTACAGGGGGTCGTTATTTGTATTTTTTCCTAATGCTGTGAGAGTGCCAGATGATTACTCGTCTATTGCTTAGATGTAATATATCTCACAATTCGTGACTTAACTTGATAAATTATTTACAATAATGGATTGGTTCCAGTGCAGAGGGAGGAAATAATAGAATAGTCGATTTTTGTCGCGCTATAATTACATTTCTCAAGAAATTTTTCACTTAACTGCGTTATTTTTGGGAAATTGCATCTTCCATATGTACAAAGAAATAGAAGTTTTTATTCCATTGTTTATGTAAATGTTCACGCCATATCTATTACTCATATTAAAGTAACTTGGAACTTTTATTAACGTGAAGATGCACTTTGGTAAAATGGCTTTAATATGAGTATTTGACATTGACCCTACGAAATATTACAATCATTGTAATACTTCGTAGGTTTTCGTTATATACATAACATTATGTATTATATACAAGTTACCTTAATATATAATCCTATTATACAGAAATGATCTAAATATTAATTCCAAGAGGAATTTAATCATTGAAACAATATTCCAATAGTATACTGACTAGTAAATAATATTTCTAATATGTTATTGATATTGACCATGTTGACAGCTTTATTGTTAGTGCTCGCTTTTGAATCGATGAAATCAATTTGAATGCATTCAAATCTATAATTAGAATTTTAGCTAAACATAATAATTATTCACGTTATAAAGCCTTTTTGTTTTGCTATATGACAACAGGGTTGATAAAAATTGATTTGGTTAACGCAATAACAGTAAACGAACTATGAAATTTGAAAAAAGACTGGGAA